TATATCTTCGAAGGATTATAATCTTAGGGCCTACTTTAAACTTCAAATAAAGGCATTAGGAAAAGTGGACTTTATATATGTGTTGTCCTAGTTCGAGTCTCGCTTGATGTGGAGACGGAGGCTAAGCGGGATGGAAATTGGGGCTTTTGCGGGCTTCTGGATACATCAGAAGAAGCTGGCTTATCCGCATCTGTCAGCTTAAACTACTGGAGTTTGGATGGTATCAAAACGTGTCGGTAGCGCTTGCGGAGCCTCGAGTCCAGATAGTTTAACTAGAATTGAGCCGATTGGAAAAAAATCTTGTCGGGCCGCTTTTTACAAGATTAAACGTAAAACTTATTCCAGCATCGGTCTGGATCTGTAGGGACTGCCGGTTGTTCTGGCCACAATCAACTAAGAGTCACTCTTTAAGAGTCCACCTTCGGAATTGTCTCCTTTTTCATTCCACCTCAGTCCTTAGATCGGACTGTAATATGAACGTATTTAACTACTTTGTTTAAAAGGATGAGGGACTGGTAAGCGCATTTTCCGATAATGAGACTTATTCCACGCCATTTTATGAAGTGAAATCGGGTGAATCCATCTCATCTATTTGATAAACTGGTAGTCAAGCCATCTACTTATAAATGGAAAAGGAATCTCGTCTATGCTCTAACCTTCCCGGCGGAATTCGAGCTTAGGTCAGAAGGATCAATCTTCTAATTCCCTCCCCCTACTCCTTCTACTCTTCCTTTTTCTTCTTGTCCTTCTCCCAAAACGATTCATCCTAATCTACTTATTCTCCTACTTCATCTCCACATCTTCCTTTACCTTATTTTCATCTCCTCCTCCTCCTCCTTCTCCTCTTCTTCCTTTTTCGCCTTACCCTTCTCTCGAAACAATTGAGCCTTAGCTTCTTCTCTTCATTCTCTTTCTTCTTCACCCATTTTTATTCTTTTTTATTTACCCTCCTCTTTTCCCTGCTCATCCGCTGCCATTACTTAATCTTCATCCTTCTCCTGCTCTTCCCCTTTATCATTCACTTCTTGATACTCATTCTGCCCCTTCTCATTCTTCTTCTCCTTCTCTTCCTCTTCATTCTCTATATTCTACTTCTCTTTGCCTGATTTCTCATGTCCTTCTCTCTCTTTCTCTCCTTTCCACGGTTTCAGGCGCCTTTCTAGTCCCATATTTCGTGAGTGTCTTCCTCGCCGGAGTGCCCATATTCTTCCTCGAGGTAGCCCTTGGCCAATTCATGTCCCGTGGTGGAGTTGAGGCCTGGAACATCTGTCCTCTACTCAAAGGTAAGCAACAACCACTGAATATATCTGCGGCCTCAACCAACATTCGCCTTCATATCAGCTGGTCAGCCTTAATTTAAGTCACACTTGCCGCCCTCCAGAGGCTTGGGTCCGTCGAACTGCAGCTGATCATCCTTGACCTTCATAAACCACATTTGGCCAATATTGCTTCTTCACCCTACCCTCAGTCGTTTCATTCTACTTGGACAGGGCCAGTCTTGGAAGTTGCTTAGCCTCAGCAAAGTATCAAAACCACTTCTGACCCCATCATGAACCCACTCTCTTTCAGACCACTTCTCTCTTCTTCTTCCATTCTTTCTCATCTGAGCGCATTTCCATATCAATTTGCAGCAAAAACTCACATGCATGCACACACATATGCAAATATATATACTTATCGACACACGTGCACGTGCACAGACTGACATACCAGCGTCCTTTTAAACAGTTGCAAACACACACACAGACTCGCACAAGCACATAGGCTCAGAAACAGGAATACTACTTCTAATACTACTTGGAGCGGTCCTCACTGGCTGCTTCGGCAACAGTCGATCTGCGTTTTCGCCTCCTTCGTCTCGTAACCTCACTAAACCTCGATTTCAGCTTTCAGATCCCTCACTACTGACGGTTACTTTTGAGTCTGGAGCGGAAGAAAGAAGCCTCTAGTCCCCCGAGATATACACATACCTTTAACTGCATTTTTAGCTGTCAGGAATCGTAGTATTTGACTGTCGACGAGTAGTTGAACAATAAATTGACGCAACTTTGTGTTATGCAGGTCACTCTCATCTGCCCTCTCAAACTCTCTGCTTTTGCAATTCCAATCACGGGCAAGATGATAGCCAAGAATCTGCAAGTTCAGAGGCGAGAAAGCTACGAGCTCACCAAATTCATCATTTGAATCAACTGGCTGGGCTCGCTTGCCCTAAAGAGATCAGGGAGTCTGCTTCGAACCCGCACTGCCCGGCTCGAGTGCCCGTGAGTCTGTGATTAGGTGACGGGGTGAGGCTAAAACATGTACCA